AAGATGATCAACTACCTCCAATGAAGTGGAACCTAGGTCGCATCACCAAGGTTCATCGAGGTCCAGATAACAAGGTCCCAGTGGCAACTATAAAGACACCTCATGGAGAAGTCACAAGAAGCATTTCCAAGCTGTGTCCTCTTCCTAAAGACTAAAACTATTTGGTTAAAGAATGTTTGTTACAGTTTTTCATTTTATAACTTGTTAAATGTATTAGATAATTATTTTTGAAAGATATTCTTTCAAGGTGGGGGGTATGTTTAGTATTTTTGTTACGCCACTGAAATTTATATAAAATGTAATTTTTATAAGAAGGCGAAAAAATGTTGTTAGAAACCGTCATTGTAGATTGAAAAATCCAATGTCAAATGAAGTTTGAAATAAAGATTAAAATAGAAAAATAACTTATAATTTATATTAAATATACAGTCCACAAAATATTAGAGTTCATAGTTGGAACCAGCTAAAGGTTTTAACACCGAAACAATCATACCAGTAGTTGTAATGAATAGGGTGACTTAAAACTAGATTTTAAACTTTCTATTTTTTCAATCTTAGGTTTTAAGTTTAATCCTATTAACAACATACAATTCTTCTTGTTTTTTATTTGTTAAATTTAATTCGTCAATAATAAAGTGCAAAAATTTTGTCAAAAGCATAAGGTTTATTTTTATTTTTTGTAAATAACATAACTTATTTCATTTAAAATTTCATCTACGAAGTGCGTATATACCATTTTATATGCCGTGACCTTATTTATATTATAGAAACTTATTTTGCAAATTATGTCTATGTTATATCCCCAATTTTACTGCACTCCTAAATCCGATAAAGACAACTGCCTTGTTATTATAATGAGTGAAGATGTCTGTATATCTACACAAAGTTGAAGAATTTTTGATTAGTAATGACTTCGTTGTCCCTAATAAAAATTTTCATTAACTTTTTTGTATCTATTCTTTTGAAACATAAATTATTTTTCTGTGATAGGAGTATTACCTACTTTATTTAATAATTTTATTCTTAAAAATGCTTATTTACCTCGCTTATGTGGTTTTTCAAAAATTATAAAATAGATGTTTCCATGAGACCTGTGGTAACTTTCTTTTATTATTTTGTCATCTTTTGGTAAATTTCTAAATAACCTTCTCAGCACATCTCCTAACTATATACTTTAATATATCCAGTCCTAAATTCTATTGATTTAGTTAACAAACTTAGATTAAAGAGACCGAAGATGTAACATTGCACACTGCGCATGTTGTCTATTTTAACCCAAAGTAACCCACCAATTGAAAATTATTGTTGCACGACGCCACCCGAATTGCTCCGATTTTTCCATTCAGCAATTACCTCCACCTGAGTTTAATCACCATTGACAGCTGTTTTTTGATTTATTTGTTGGTATTTTAGCAATTTAAGTGTTCTAGTTATTCAATTTCAAGTTCAAAATGTCACGATTTATCTTGAAAAATTGTATGTACTTATAATACAAGTACCAATGTTATGAATATATTCGTTTTCAGCGGTAAATATTTATTAACGTTTTCACATAAAGCGCCATGGATTCTCTGGGATGAATACTTCAGATCCGCATTAAGGGGTTTCAATAAATATTAAGCATCAGAAATCAGATTTCATATTACTTACATAACTTTACAAAAGGGTAAAATTTTGAACATTTAATTTAAATAAATAGTAAATAGGCATTATTACTAACGAAATTTTGTATTTAAAAAGTAGTTTTATAAGAATGTTTTCTAAAGGTAGTTTTTAGTCCTTTTTGGTAGATAAATAAGAGGTAAAGAATCATAGTTGCTAGCTAAATTATATTTTTACAAGGTATTTTTATAAGAATATTAGATGAAATACAGGATGACCTACTTAAAATTTCAAGGTTCATCTTATTTGCGGTAAAATCGAAAGTGACATTAGAATCTTCAGTCTTAAAACAAAGTAAAACGCACCATATGATCTAGTATAAGCAAAAAAAAATACTACCGTTGTGTTAAAAGGAGATTAAAATGACAGTGTTAACGTAAAAATGTCATTTTAAACTTCGTTTAACACAACGGTGGAATCGACGCTTAGTCACAATAAAATGTTACATTACAAACCCCTAAGCAACTAGAACAAAATTTTCCTTTACTAAAAAAAATCCAACATTTAGCAATATTTATTATTTATTATACAATCGAATGCGGTTTCAAATATAACGGGATCAAAAAATCCGAATCTCTAAATTTTGGAGCTATATGCTAAGATAAAAGCAAGCGACCGATAGGGGTTACAAAAATAATCGATGTATCGATAATTCTAAAATTTTTTAATGAAAATCGATTTATCCGCTATTTTTAATAAATTATTTTCGTTTTTTTAAGATAATGTATTAATCGATTTTAAAGGAAATACAAAAAAAGTAGATTTATTCAAAATAATCGATTTATCGTTTAATCGGTTTTTCATTATTTGATTATTTTCGATTTTTCAAAGATATTATATAAAAATAATCGATTGAATATAATCGGTTATTTTATATATTCGATATTATGGTTATTTTTTTAAAATTATCGATTTATTGGTTAATCAGCTTTTTAATAATCAATTATTTTCGATAATCGAATAATCAATTTCAAAGGAAATATGAAAAAAAGGATTATTAGAAAATAATCGATAATTTGTTTTATTTTTTGGAAAATCAATTTATCATAGAAAAGGCTTCTTAATTAATTGGTTATATTCGATTAGGCGATTATTTTGGAATCATCGATTATTTTCGGTATTTCAAAGATAATCCAATTATCGATTTTAAAGGAAATACAACAAAATAGATTATTGATAATAATCGATTTATCATAGAATCGGCTTCTTAATTAATTGGTTATTTTCGATTAGGCGATTATTTTGGAATTATCGATTATTTTCGGTATTTCAAAGATAATCGAATTATCGATTTTAAAGGAAATACAATAAAAATAGATTATTGATAATAATCGATTGATCGAAAATAATCGCTTATTTAAAATAATCGCTCATTCTGTTTTTTTTTTAAATCGATTTATCAGTTAATCGACTTTTTAATTAATCGATTATTTTTAATTAATCGATTATTTTTTATTAATCGATTATTTTTGATTAATCGATTATTTTCGATTTTTCAAAGATTATCGAATAATCTGTTTTCATGGACTAAAAAAAATGGTTTATTTGAAAATAATCGATTATTTAAAATAAACGATAATTTTATTTTTATTATATTTTGTAAACACTGATTTATGGGTTAATTGGCTTTTTAATTAATCGATTATTTTTGATTTTTCAAAGATAAGTAGTCGATTTTAAAGGAAATGACAAAAAATATATTGTTTGAAAATAATCGATTGATCGAAAATAATCGATTATTTTCAATGATCGATCATTTATTTCGATAATCACTCATCCCTAGCGACCAAATGACTTTTAATAGATTTAAATTTTAAAATATTATCTGGTTTCAGACATATGCATTTCTAGAGTTTTATGTGACTCATACCTTATAATAATTAATATTCCTAAAGAAAGAAGCCTTAATATACTTTTTTCTGAGGTTACAATACAAAACAGCATTTTCTCATTTTGACTAATTTTTAATAATATGTAATAGCCGTAGAAAAAATATAATGTTCAACTCATAAGGGTAGATTTGCAGTATTAGCCTGCGCACATGCTATTTTTATAATACTCGTAGACAATGAGTAACATTTTTTGCTCTATTAACAATATAATATTCTATTTCAACATTTTACTGTAATCTCTTGCAGAAAAGTCCGTAGTAAATAAACGCTAACATAAAATATCGTGGCATCTGTTTGATATTAAAAAATCACGTTAATTTTATTTCATAATACAAAATTCGATTAAACACCTTTTAAATAAATCTAATAATTCATTATGATGCTAATAAACAAAGTCCGGTCCCTGTCACAGAGTTCGGGTCGCCGCGTGTCGCCGCCCAGTTCCCCCACTCCGTTAACCCTTCTTTAGAAATTGGCAACATTTGCGCAGGTTAAAAACCGGTGTATGTTATATCTCTGGTCTCTTTTATCTAAGTTAACAAATCAAAAAATATTAATTTATCCGTAAACTCCAAAATAGTATCTTTCGATGTTAGTAATTTATTTACCAGTGTCCCTAGGATAGAGACTTTTCCTGTTAGTAATGATCTTCTTGTAAAAAAACAATATTAACCAACCCTCTATTTCCAATATTCTAGACCTTCTGTAAGTTTATCTCAATCATGACTTTTTCATTTTTAATAAAACGATCTATCGTCAATCCGACGGCCTAGCAATAGGTAATATTTTGAGTCCTTTTTTAGCCGATTTCTTTCTAGACCATTTTGAAATTAATAATATTCTCACTGATCACATAAATATCAAAATACTATACTGGTATAGATATGTCGACGATATTTTTGCGATCATGAGTAACCTGGATGAGATACAGGATTTTTTACTTTAGGCTAATAAGTTACTTAACTTTTTAGACTTATCTATTAGTCGCCAATACAATAAACCAGAGTTTGACGTCTATTTATAGAAAACCTACTCGAACAGTTCACCTTATAAATTTTAACTCTAACCATTCTTATTTCTTATCAACATAAACTGGCCGCTATCTACTGCTATGTTTACCGTTTATCTAATATTTCACTTTCTGGATCTTAAGTTCAACAAGGAAATCAATGTGTTGAAATAATTTGCTATCAGTAACAACTTCAATCCTGCTATCAATAAATAATTCAGTTATTTAATATTATTTAATTATCACTTCTCAATTTTTCTCTCAATGATATTTACTTTAATGTTTGTCTTAGAGTATTATTTATTTCTTAGTCTACAAAATATTGTGACTCGTAAAATCTTCCTCACCAAAACGTTGATTAAATTTTTTTAAATAACCATTCATTATATTTTATAACGAAAACCCTTCATAATGACCTAATAAATTTTTGATTTTAGATTATGGTACATCTGATTTTATTATTGTGGGAGCTGGAGCATCTGGATGTGTCTTAGCACACAGGCTCAGTGAAATACCAGAATGGTCAGTGCATTTGATAGAAGCCGGAAATAAAGGAAACAATGTGACTGATATTCCAGGCATGCTGATTTATTCGTTTCTTTCGCCATACAACTGGGGATATTTATCTACTCCACAATCCACCTGCTGCCAAGGTAAAATGTTTTTTTTTTAAGTCAAGAAATATTAATAGTAAGTAATTGGTGGAAAAAAGCTTATTTGTAAAATATGGACATACTGTAAACAAATATAATGAAAGAAAGTTATAATAACTTAACGAATGGTCTAACAGTTTTGGGAAAAAAATTACCTGGTTTAATTGAGTAACAAAATTCATTTATTCAAGCAGGTCATGGAAATTAAATATCACCAGTCATGTCATCTAAATAAGCAAGGCAAAAGATTTTGGTTAGCGCTTACCAAAATATCTTATAAAATTAATCTTCATCGAGGTATTTATAATATGGTTGGGCGAATGTCGAAACGAGAGATTGTCGATATTTATAAAGATCAGAACATAAGTAAATCGACAATTTATCGGATAGTAAAAGACTGTGAAGAAGAAATACCAAGTATGAACTTGCCAAAAAACGATTTGCCGCGGGTTTTCAACCAATTAAGAGATGGGAGACTCATTCAAGCGGTTAAACACAGTATTGGAAACACAGCAAAAACTGGCCAGGAGAGTTTATATTGGAAAGACTACGATGTTTAGGACCCTATCAAGAATCAATGTTGTCTTCAGAAAAAGAAGAAAAGCTCCAAAATACACAAAGGCTCAATTAGAAAGAATTTCGAGACGTTACCGCGCATTGAAGCGAGTGTATTTTATCAACAAGTTGATCGTGATGGACGACGAAAAATATTTCACTTTAGCCAACTCTGAGATGAAGGGCAATGATGGTTTCTACATGGACGATTACGCGAATGTTCCTGACGATGTGAGACTAAAGAGCAAAAAGAAGTTTGAGGATAAACTTTTGGTATAGTGTGCCATTTCTGAGGCGGGTTTCATTTCACAGCCCTACATTGGTAATGTTCGTGGCGAGGCCCTTAAATGCAGAGCGATTTATTACGAGATGTCTTTCTAAATGGCTTTAGTTTTAGAATAAAAATCATGCGAATGACAAAATTTTGTTTGGCAAGATCTTGCTTCATGCCATTATGCGAAAATCACAAGAGGGTGGTATGGAGCCAACATCAACTTTATACCGAAAGTGTACAAACCTGACAACCTACCTCACCAATTAAAGACTTCTGGATAATATTGATCCGGAAAGTCTACAATAATGGATGGGAAGCACAAAAACAAGAACAACTCCGACGTCGTATGTCGGGAAAAATTGAAGAAATCAACGCCGTCCAAAGGATGATGCAACGCGTCAGGGGAAAACTTGGACAGATCGAAGATGAAGGTTCCTTGCCGATTATTTGAATTTTTCATCTAGTAATAAGAATATTTAAGCAATATTGTATGAACATTTGTTAAGATTATAAAAATATTTTCATAAAAGTTGTTTTTTCCCAAAACATTTGGACCTAACGTTAGAACCCATTTAGTTTCAAAGCTTAATTTGGATGATAATGGGAAAAACACACATGAAGTTAGCATTACGCATTTAAAATTTTTGTTGTAAATTGGTCGTGGAAAATAGTCTATTTATTTATTAGCTCCAAGATAATACACTCACTAACCAACAAGAATGTTCCACAGATGGTCAGTGAAAGAATACCTGGCTATTCTGCAAACAAGAAATTTTAAGAACATATTCTGTGAAAGAATGCAAGTAGCTCTTAAAATTGTAGAACGGTAGTTTAAGGACTATTGACTGTCTATCAATCCAAAGAAGACAGAAATGGTCCTTTTCATAATAAAGAAGAAAAAACTAAACTTCGAAACAGAGGTGAAGTGCTTAGGTATTACCTTAGACAGCAAGTTAATATGGACCTTACAGCTCGAAAACAGAGTAAACAAAGAATACATTGCTTGTCAACAATGCCGTCGAACCATGGAGCGCACCTGTGGGTCTCTCCCCCACAGTTATCGCATGGACTTAAAAGGCCATCGTAAGACCTATGTTAAGATAAGGTGAAGTTATCTGTGTATCAAAAACCCAAAAATTGACAGCTATCGGCAACCTAGAACAAATCTCAAAGAACAGCATGTCACAACAATACAGAAACCATGAAAATAACATAATCAGGGCCATGAAAGTCATTCTTAGTTTCACTCCCCTTGATATTTACATCAAAGAAGTTACTCTGATGACGGTTGTAATAGAACCTGATAGAACCTGATGTAGGATTTCGTAAGGCGAGACATTGCTTATCGTAGGAGGTCCTTGGTACACTCACTGCTTCAAGCGAATATGGACTACACCTCACAGAGATATATCTTTCATAAGCCATATAAAGTTAAAACAGAACAAATATAAGAGCCGGAAGTGACAAGTATGATTCATATCTACATCGACGGTTCCAAAACAAAGCTTAAGGTATGAAATATACTTCAGATCTTTAAACTTAAACGTAAAATAAACTGTGAGCAATAGTGCCAGTGTAGTTTAAACAGAACTCACGGGGATTCTAATAGCAGTAGAAGACATCACCAGAAACAATACCACTGGAAAGAACATGCTTATCTATACAGACACCAAAGAAGCACTACTCACATCGGACAGACCACGAATATACTCAGGGTTAGTACTAAAATATCACAAAGTATTGACAATCAACAATGTGGTTATCTTAAGATGGATCAAAGGTTACGTCACATCGAAAGGTAACGGTCTTGCTGATTCACTAGCCAAAAAGCAGCCAACCAAAAACTTTTTGAACCTGTCCCTTCGAATAAACTGACAATATCAGTGGCGACGAACCTAAATAAAGAACATTCTCTTGTGAAATAAAAAAAAAGTTAAAATAAAACAAGAAGCTGCATAGTTACTAGGGAGCTTTTAAGTGGTCCTGAAAATACTACAGCAACCAAATACTTGACTATGACTAGACAGAATCTACGCCCGTTCACAGCCATTCTGACTAGCTATTGCCAAATACGGAATCATTTCCTTATTATGGAGCTGTCAGAAACCGCATTTTACAAGGGGTGCGAACAATATGATAAGACCACCGAGAATATTCTTTACGATTGCCCGACGCTCTTATTTATTAGAAGATTTGTGTTTGGCGAGAATTGGCTAATACCGGCTGATATAAGAGAAGCATCTCTTGGCGACGTTGTTAACAACATTGAATCTGTAGGCTGGCTCACGAGCTAGGAAGTACCTATCTACAATAGGTCTCTTAGGTCGCAGTTTATTAACACTCCATTCCAACCTAACAGGATGCACAATGGGCCTACTGAGGCATAAGTGCCGTGTATTAATCCGCTCTCTACACGTTACAGATACAAGGAGATATGGGTAATACAATAAGTCGTATTGTTCTGAACTTATTCTAACTGTGCCTTCTTATAACCGACAAAGACCTAGAACGCAACTTAAGAACAGATGTTCAGATGTCCAGTGAAACTTTTACCCAATAAATAAAGTTAAAAGGAAAAAGTAGTTTGAATTAATATTTCAACACTTTGATGCCTTTATCTATTATTCTATCAATAGTATTTATTCAATCAATGATATTTTTTAATTTCAGGAATGTCCAACCAGCAATGTCCTTTTCCCAGAGGAAGAGGTTTAGGAGGTTCTAGTTTAATTAATGGTATGTTTTATGTACGAGGAAATTCAGACGATTACGATCAATGGAGAAAACTGGGTTGCCGTGGATGGTCCTATCAAGATGTTCTACCATATTTCAAAAAGTCAGAACACGCCGATTTTCCGGACGCCGATCCACATTACCACGGTTTTACTGGTCCTCTTCATGTTAATTACACAGCTCCCCCTTCTCTTATTGAGAACACTTTTATTGAAGCAGCCACTTACAATATGGGATTAGACACTGTGGATTATAATGCTGCAAAACAAATTGGGGTTTCTCCAATACAATATGGCATTAATTTTAATAAACGACAAGATACCGGTTCCCTATTTATTAAACCCATCGAGAATAAAAAAAATTTGCAAATTTCACTCAATTCATTTGTAATAAAAATCATAATTTCGGACAATAAGGCGGTGGGCGTCGAATTTATAAAAGATGGCATACGTTATCAAGCTTTTGCTCGAAAAGAGGTAATTATTTGCGCCGGTGCTGTTAACTCAGCCCAACTTCTGATGTTATCAGGAATAGGTCCTAGAAACGATTTAGAAAAACTGGGAATACCAGTTAAAAACGATTTACCGGTTGGTGAATCATTTATTGATCACCCAGTCTTCTTGGGTCTGATATGTTCTACGAAAAGAAGAGCAGAAGCTTCTGCTCTGCTCGAAGCTTTGCAAGCATACCTACGAGGAGAGGCTCCTTTGACAAGAAGTTTCGGTGGAGAATCTCTGGGATTTGTTAACGTTGATGATCCAAATAGTACCGTCCCAAATATAGAATTCGCTACTTTTCCCCAACCTCGAGGAGGCGATCTAAAGCGAATACTTAATTTAAATGATCAGACCACGGAAGATTTCTTAAGACTAGATCCTGAGGTATTCGCTCACGTATGGGTAACTTTACTTTATCCTAAATCCAGAGGAAAGGTATATTTAAAATCCAACAGTCCCCTTGATTTTCCACAAATAGATTTGAATCTTTTATCGGACAAATACAATCATGATATAAAAACATTGTTAAAAGGTTTGAAGTACGTCATAGAGTTTTTTACTGGAAAAGCTTTTGGAAACATTGACTCTTACATATCATTTCAATTAAAGGTGTGTGAACCTTATGGACTGTTTTCGGATAAATACTGGATTTGTGCGTTGAGACAACTTACTACAAGTTTCTTTCATCCAGTTGGTACTACCAAAATAGGGAGATGCCAAAAGACGTCTGTAGTTGATTGTAATTTAATGGTACATAGAATGAAAAATTTAAGAATTGCAGGAGAGGGGATTTTTCCAAGAATTGTAGGGGGTCACACTTATGCACCATGTCTTATGATTGGAGAAAAACTTGCTGACATTATAAAAGAATTCAATGGGAAATTATAGACATTATTTCTAAAAATTCTGCTTTGATCATATTATGCAATATTATTAAAATAAAATTATATTACAAATTTTAATTATTTTTTTTATTGCTTAACGAGTTCTGAAATAAACTAAATATAGCACTATCAAGAAAACCTGTGCTGACCCACAGGATCACACCTGCTAGGGAGACGAGTCTAAAATGGCATATTAAAAATCTTGAACAAAATATTGTAACCTACCAAATGCAACCTGTAACGTTCAGAAAGGCAAACTGCCTGAAACTGAATTTAAAAAAAAAAAAGACTTTACTAATAAAATTCTACTTGTTTACATAAGTTTCGGTGTTAACCTTTGGGACTTCGACGTCGCTCAAGTAGTAGCTATGAGGATAACATAAAATTTTCCGATATAGTGGATAAATTGATGGGACGCCAACTGAGATCCTATAATGGCCAATTTATGCTCGTATTCCCCTCAAACCCAGTAAATGAGGAAAGATATAAAAGACAAACCTCAAACGTATGTTCCTTTTTAATAAATTTTCCCAATAAATGCAATGAATAACAATTTTTAAATTATTATGGAAATAAATAAACTATAAACATATTCAATATATTTGTCATTATACAAATTCAAAATTAATGTTAAAGAATTAACTTATTTAAAAACTTAAAAACGTAAAAAATGTTAATCGTATTAGTCGAACTTCTTGTATGTCCCTCCAACCTAACCATCGTTCACGAGAACACATGTCTCTCGTATGCACTCTAACCTAACCATCGTTCACGAGAACGCATGTATGTACTTCTAACCTAATATCTGCTATTATTGATCCGGTTCGAATAGAGTAAGCAACATTCAAGTTAAACAATCAGTGAATGTATGTTGCTCATGTATCCTTTAACCTAACCTTCGTTCACGTGAACGCTTATCGTTAGTATGTCTTCTAAGTTGATTGTTGGGCCGATCTATAGATATCTAGAGATCGTACGCTGCATTCTACTTAAACTGTCAGTAAATGTATGTTGCCGTGCATTCTCTAATCTAACCTTCGTTCACTTAAACGCGTATCGCTCGTATGTCTTCTAACCTAACCTTGGTTCGCGGCGATAATAATACCTACAAAGACTATAGCTGCTGCAAAGCTAATAGCTATTGCAAATGTCTAACAGCAACAATGACATGCTATCAACGACAATATTATTATTTTTTTAAATACGTTGAACACGATATTGAAAAATTCCGTAACTAACCTATATTTAACCTGCTTTGATATATTTAGACTTTTCTTAGAGTACGTAGGTCATTCATATTACCTTTCTGGTAAAATGAATCATATCTACTTAACGTTGTTTTAATTGTTAAGAAATAAAGGTTTTGCCATTTAAACTGCCAAAGAAATCCTTGATACTCTTGTATCAAATCTTCATACTTGTTAATGTTATTTTATTTATTTTGTATTTTATATAGCCTTTGCACCTCGTTTATCATTATTTGATTACTATAACTTTGCTTAATGACGTACTCTATCGAATTATCACTTAACCTATTATCAACCAGCTTTACTATTTAGACTTTTCTTAGATTTCTTTAATAAAATCAATGTACCTTCCTAAATTTATCATACTAGCTCTATTAACCCATGGTATTTATTAACAAAACTCTGCTATAACACAGCCTACGCAGAAAAATTATAATATCCTAATTCACTGTTTGGTTATAAAAATCGTAATTCATATTGCATTTTGATATGAAAGATACCGTCACAACATTGGTGGATGCATTTTTACTCTAATATTTCTTACAATATAAGTATTCCTTTAAATGTAAATGATTTTTCTCTTGTATCAAATTTTGACACCTTTTTAGGGTTATGTTTTAATAAATGCTGATGACTCTGACGTATCTACCATTTTATATAAATTAAGAAATTCATCATAATTTTGCTACAAAATCATCTTTTGTAGCTATTTAACATTAAAATTCATTAAATGTTAAGAACTCTGAATCACCTTGTTTTTACCTAGCCATTGGAATTCGTTTGTTATTAATTAGTTGATTTAAAAAAGACTTTACTTAATATCCAGTGTATCTGCTTAAATTTAGTCCTAGAAAAATATATTCTATCAGAGTTTTGTCAAATGTAATATTACACTAAGAGCTGTAGTCGTAGAAAGTATTGTATTTAGCTGATATGTCAACAAGTTTGAATATTATTGAAGTTTCATCTGGTAATTTTCCATTGGTTTTGGTATGAAGGATATACTCTCACACCATTGGTGGATGTAACTTTACTCTAATATTTCTTGCATTAAAAATTATTCTTTGATTCTAAATGAACGTTAGAACACCACTGATTTGTAAAGATTACTATCTGACTTATTACGAGAAATATAACTTAACAGTTTCATTACATCATAAATATACTTTCGAATATAAATGCTGGTATACCGTCTGTATTGATATGAAGAATCCTACTTTATTTACGTTAATGTATTCCTACGTAAACACTTTTCAAGCTAGAAGATAAGATATAGGATTGAACTTTTGACAATAATGTAGTCCATATAATTTAATATACTCACTATGCTTTGTTACAAGTAATCGCAAAGAAGTTCTTCATACTCTTCATATCTCTGTTGATAGAGATTTGTTGAATAAATATTTACTTTATTAGCAATGTTGACAGAAAAAAATATGCTTTATTTTATTACAAAGTGTCGTTTTTATCTGAAATGTCTACAAAAATTTGTCTCTCATCTAGACGTCGAATTCATCTCAGATGAATATTACAAGTAATTTTAAGATCATTGGCTTTTGGCACCGATATTGATACTGGTATTGATTCCATGAGCTTTAATCGTGGATAAACATCTTAAGACTTTTATCATACTTTTACTACACATATTCTCGTATCTGTATAACTCAATTTAAAATCTGTTATTATTCATTGAAGAATCTAAAGCATCTACCATTTCGTAGACAGTAATATTAAATACTATTAGATATTTTTCACGAAGTACCCAAAATTATTCCATCATGAGAATGGTACTCGGTGTACCTTGTTGGTGCGACAGTTATTGCGCATGTTCTTCTTTATCGATTTACTTCACTTTTTCATTATCGATTCTTTAGACGCTTCTTCTATGTCTCCTTTTATTTGTTCATAGTCTCTCTAGAGGCTTCTTCAACAGATTTCGCTAGGCTGACTTTTCACTGTCGTAGTACATCTTTGATATGAAGTTCGAAAAATTATATTAAAAATTATCATAACTTTAGGTATACCGTTGGATTTGATATAAATGATACTAATATTACAGTTTAACCGTTTTAATCTAAATAAATGGTGCTACACAGTTAATATATGCAGGATGATGTTTACGATGAGGATGCTGCATTACGTTAATGTCTTTCTTATTGCAATAAATATATCTTTTTAAGGCAATTGAATGTTTTGAAATAATATACTGCAGGTATTTCTATGAAGGATTATGTTTTACGATAATGACTTCCTGCGAAAAATGTACTAGTGCCAATTTTCATTTGTCTTTTTTATACAATTTAAGTAAATCTCCATGCTTTGTTACAAAATATTTTCGTATACATCCTTCTTACTCTTCATACCTCTGTTGGTAGAGTTTGTTAAATGAAAACTTACATAAGCATTGACCGTAGAAACATATACGTTGTAGTTTGTTGAAGGAAATCCTACATTATTAGAGTAACAGATTCATGATTAGCATGTCATATGGTCTTCCTCCTTCAAAACTCACGCAAATATGAGACACAATTCCAAAAAATCTCGAAAATATACAATGAATGACGTAATACCCATTTAAACAGAGATAAGGGAGATAAAGATAGGAAACGCGCATAAGAAGCCAATGCTTAACAACCACCAGCTTTAACGCAGTTAACATCTAACCCACTATCAGCGGGTTGCAACAACGATCGTTAAATATCTAATGACTCGTTAAACCCAAATCTTTTACTAAAGGTGTAGTACGGGTTGCATTCTTCTGTTAATTTTTAACGACGACGTGAACTGGCAACGTCGCTTCCTCTGTCAGCTCTGCTCGTCATTTACTTTGACAGATTGAATCTTTACTGATTAATATTTTAGAATTTTTCAATTTTCCAGCCAATTTATGTGAGTGTCGAGAGGTACTTTGAATATATATTATAAAAGTTCAATTTGAGTTCGTTTAGTTGAAGTATTATAATGCTTGACAAAAAAAAAATCGCAAGCAATTTACTGCTACAGATAGAAGAAAAACCACTTGGTAAGTAAATTAATAATAAGTACATAAAATTCCTTCAAAAACATTCACTTTATTACATACTTAATTTGTATTTCCAACTACATTTTTGCGGTTAAAATTTTAGGTAAATTGCTAAGAAGTTGTATTGGCCAAAATACTAATTAGGAATAACTAGCTTTTATTAAATATAAAACTGATACAAGGAAATCTAAAAGTGAGATACAACAAGAAGAAAACTAAACTTTACAAGAGGTTAAATAGAAGGAGGGACAGGACAAGGTTCGTATTTTTTTGTCTCATTCAAAGGACACTTATTATACATAACATTTGTATATTCATAATATTTGTACACCCACCCTTCTGGGACAGTAACATTAATATACTTACCTTCTATATGGTATAGAATAATGTGCCTTCTTAGTAATAAAAGAAAACATTTATTTGAAATCAAATTAAAAATTTATGCAGTAATATATTTAAAGTTAATTTTCTAAGCAAAGTACCTATAATAATAATGTTATTTAACAGAAATTTTATATTTTAAAAGATTAATTCATAGGATTTTAATTTAAACAGAAATTAAATCACTTTTATATATACAATATAAAACTTCTTTTGTATGTGTTATTATTTATACAATTTTAGCAATATCTGTCTTTTCCCATTTTAAAGATTATTCAAACTACTAAAGTTAAAAAAAAAAATAAAATTGGAAATAACTAACGTTTAGTATTATTTTTGTTTATTTAAATTCTT